TAACCCACAGGTGGCAAACACAAAGCCCACAGGCTGAATCTGGCCCTCCACCTTGTTTTACCTGGCCAGGCACCTTGTTTCTACTCAGCAGCATTGCCAAGCTCTCACTTAACTGTTAAGGAGTAATTACATTTATACACTCCTAAAGTTACATTCAGCCCTGTAAAGGCAACTGTGAGGCTGATGTGGCCCCCAGTGAAAATGAGTTTGACACTCCTGGTCTAACCACTATGCTGTACACCTGAAATTTATATAAAATAATATTGAATGTAAACTGTCATTGAAAAGTAAAATTTTAAAAAACAAATAAACAAAAAATAAAGATGCAGATGATCAGGCCATACCCATAAATTTTAAAAAAATCTTTCCAAGTGATTCTGATATGCAGTCTGCTTTACTGAGGTGGAATCATCCACAACTACTGTGTGGACCTCCAACTTCCGGAGCTAGTGTAGTACATGAAGCTTGTATTACCCAGTATGTTCTGTCACTTGGATCTTCACTCTCTCCCCAGGTACACTGCATTTTTTCCATGGAGGGCTTACCTCCCACAGTGGATTTACACACTATAGGCCCCCTTCTGCTTCCTGGCCTGGACTCCCTTGGTGTGTCCTTGAATGAAGGTAGAAACACAGTCCAGATGGGCTGATAACACAACTTTGGCCACCTCACAGCGGGGGAGGGCTGCCCAGACTCCGGTTGTCACAGGCTTTGGGTCTCTGAGTAATGAGAGGTTCCCCACCCCCTTTTCTGGACTGTTTTAAAATGTGGATTTCATTATTATTCAGGTATGGCAAAGCCAATAGATAAGGAGACAGCTGCTATTGAAAAGGCAGCTTCTTGCACAAAATTCCCAAGAGGAAGGGTACTCCCTGACTCTGGGGGGCCACATGGGGAAGCCCCAGGTCAGTGCGGGGGGGAGGGGTTGTAGGCCAGAGCCAGAGTGTGCCTTCCAGGGAAGGAACAGGTGGGGCAGGCAGGTTTCAGATGGACCTGTTTGACTAATTTCAGCTGGCTCTGGGCACAGGGCTGTCCCTAGCTGTCAGGTGGGTGGCTCTGGGGTAGTCCCAGTGGAGGGACAATGGCCTGAGTCGGAGAGCTTGGAGTGGAGGCATTGGGGTGTGAACACCCCTGATGGCTGGTTTGCATGTGACCCGGGCAACGCTGCTTGTATCTCTAGGAATTTGCTAATCCTGGGAGGGGCCGTCCCTCCAGGGTCAGCAAGGCCTCCGAGATGTCAGAGTGTAAAAAATACAGAATAAAAACACACAATTAACACCAACTACCTCTCTCTTTGTTTAAAAAATTTGCTAGAGGCTTACTGGGTTAGCCAAAAAGTCTGTCTAGATTTTTCCATAAAAACAAAAAACACATTTTTCATTTTCACCAATAACCTCATTGATTTGGATATTTTGAGTATGTTGACTATCTCCTACATGGTAGAATATTGATTGTTCTGAATTAATGTCTCAGTTTGGTCACTATCAACTTCAACTGGTCTACCCAACCAAGGAGCATTGTCCAGCAAGAGATCTACAGCACAAAACTTCACAAACCACTTTTGACACGTTCAAGCAGTCACAGTGCCTTCTCCATCCACTGCACAAATCTTTTTTTGCATATCAGTTGTGTTTTTAACCTTCTTGAAATAATAAAGCATAATATGCTGAAAATGCATATTTTCTTCCATCTTTAATATTAAAATGGCTACACAAAAACTCACCAATTTTGATGTATTTTTTAAAATGTGCACAGTTGTCACAATGTAATCTAATAAAATTGTCTTGAATGAAATTGAAGACAACTAAGTGCTACTAGAGCCATATTATAGGAAAAAATTAATGAACTTATTGGCCAATCCCACAGAAACAAACTAAGTAGACAGTATTTATGATAAGTTGGTAGCAATAATCAGCAAATGAAACTCTCCAGCAGGATGACTGTGGCATCTTGGAAAGATTATTCTGGAAATTGGGGTGCAGAGAAGGTACAGAGACTTCAGCATGGAAATCTCAAGGTCAGCAGAAGAGGGTCACACTGACATGGCCCTATGTCCACCCTTGGCCACAGTGCATGGCAACTGTGAGGGTTCATTGAGGTGACTTGCTTGGGTGCAGGTTGTCCCTGGGAGGACGGGAGGGTGGACTGAATGTCAAGAATGCCCACCATACAGGAAGTAGGCCACACCGCTCACCCTCAAGAAGGCCATTTGGATTCTAAGGCTAGAGTCACTTTTTCCTACTCTCACAGCACGCTTTCTCATGTGGAAATCCAGAGATCAGCAGGCCTGGGGGTGCAAAGCTCAGAGGCCAAAGGCAAACTCAGTAGCTTCAGGCTGGTGATGTGTAACCAAGTGTACGGAGTGAATGGAATTAACAAGTAACCAGGTTACCAGAGGCCCTGGCTCCCACAGTGCCTGGCAGGACCCTGGGCAATGTTATCTAAGGGCAGGGTCTAAGCACCAGTCCCTCTGCACAGTAGAATTATCCTAGTGCTGCAGGACTTGCAGCTGGGGACAGTGTGTTTTGGGGCTGGCTCTGAGCTGGTGGGAAGCCAGAGGCAGCCTTGTGGTTGCAGGGCCACTGAATTGGCCTAAGCCAGTGGCTTCTGGCCCAGTTCCCTGCTTCGTTACCTCATGGTTACTGAGCCCTACCCAGCATATCAAATGTCTCATGGCACAGTGATGCTGCCAAATGTGGGGATCCAGCTACCCAGGAAGGCTCCCTCTCTTTGGTTGGAAACCTCCAAGATGTGTTGGGAGCCTTGCAATGACTCTCTGTGCCCCCTTCCCCCTCACCCCACCTCCTACTGCTGCAGATGGAGACAGGGTCAGGTGCTTGGTGGTTGTGAACAAAGAATTAGACTGACCACACATATATTGCAAGGCAAAACAAGTGGGGAATTTAAGGAAACTACACTTCCCAAGACATGGAAGCAGACCATCTCTGGCCAAGGAATGGAGACTAGGGAATGGCCCTCTTCTATTAAATGAATACAGACTTATAGGGTTTTTACTTAAGCTTCTACACATGTGATTTCCCAGAATCCTCCTTTTTTAAAAAAAGAATGTATGTATTTTTAAGATTTTATTTATTTATTTATTTATTTATTTTAGAGAGGGGAAGGGAGGGAGAAAGAGAGGAAGAGAAACATCAATGTGTGATTACCTTTCCCACCCCACCTACAGGGGACCTGGCCCACAACCCAGGCATGTGCCCTGGCTAGGAATTGAATAAGTGACCATTTGGGTCACAGGCCAGCACTCAATCCACTGAGCCAGGCCAGCCAGGGTTCTCACAATCCTTCTTGATTGCCCACCCAGGGAGGAAACCACAGTGCTAATTATTATGAGGTGTCACATGGCCATTCTCAGAAACCAGAATGCTTACTGAGGACAGCTGCAGTGTTTCAGAATTTCCTGTTCTATCTTCTGCCTCACTACTCTTCCCGGGACTTGGTAGCTTTGGATCCTTCTTCCCTGTGAGGGTCCTGAGCCCCCTCACCAGTAGGGCCAGAGACTTTATCACTTTGCCCTTGTCCAGGGCTGGGCGCTGGGAATGAGCTGGACAAGAGGCAAGGGAATGGATGTAGGATGAAAGTGGGGACCGTGCATCTGTTTGTGCTGGAGGGCAGGACTGCAGAATCTCTGCCACGTGTCCCTTTGGAAGCAGAGCTGAGTCCTCTTCCTTCAAGTCTCAGCCAGCCTGCATGGAGCTCTGGCCAACTGAACAAGGCAGAAGTGACCTCTGTCACCTTTCAGGCGGGGTCCTGACTTGGATGTAGCTCCCGCCTGAGCTCCTGGGATGGCTCCTCTTCAGGCCAATACCACACTCGGAGAAGCCCTCGCTGCACAGAGAAGCCCGGTGAAGCAGGGGCATGTGTGCATGTGCCGGTTTCCGCAGAGCCCCGGCCAACGGGAGGCACCCCTGCTGGCCACCGCAGGCCCCTGGGTGAGACTTCGGATGCCCTCCCACACACACTCCACCAAGTGGGAGCAGCGGGGTCCACATAACAGACACCCCCCAGGCTCAGGCCCTGGGAGCAAAGGAAAGTTTTTCAGTTACCCTTTCAGAAGAGGAAGCCTACCCAGCTGAGAACCAGGCAGAGATGACAAAGACATGGAAGAGGACACTGCACCGGAGGATGACATAGTGAATACTGGCAACGACCTTGTAACCAGAGCGTTGTAGCTTTTAATCTGGATCCCTCCATTTTTGTGTCATACACTAGTGATAGTTCCAATGGTAATAAAACTTCTTCCCTTTTTCCTTCGTCGGTGGTAAAGTTACTATGAGTGCACAGGCTGTGGAATACCCCAGTTGGAGCTTGGCAGGACAGGGAACAGACATTGCCCAGGTAACCCAGATGCCCAAGCCAGGGGAGCGCTTTGGAACTCTGTGTGAATGAGGGAGGTTGTGCGTGAATGTGGGGAAGGGCGTGGTGCGAGGCAGCCCTGGAGAGGGCTGGAAAGAGCACCTTCTGCTTGTTTTTTGTCCTGACTCACTCCCTCCATGCAGCTCTGGGGGCTGTGCCAGGGGATCTTCTGGCCACCCTCTCACTGCAGGGTTTGGGGGTGGGAACCAGCCGAGCATATGGGAGAGACTGGAGCCCAGCCCTCCCAGGGCAAGGTTCTTGAGGCAGCCCCACTGCGTGGAACCTGGGATCTGCTGCCTGGCTCTCTGAGCCTCCATTTCTTCATCTGTGAAATGGGAGACATCTGGGCACAATCCTGCTGAGGTGTAAAACTCCCAGTGTCCCAGCCCACCCCCAGGCCCTGCCCCTCTGCACAGCTCTCATCCTGCTCCTCCTGGGGCTGTGCTGCTGACCCTTGGGGAGAGCAGGCACAAGGCACCCACAAACATCAGCCTGGGTGACTTCCACGTGTTCAGGGCTCTATGCTATCTCCTCCCGTGGCTGGAGCCAGTAGGCTATCCAGGGAGGCAAAGCAGACCTTCCACCCCTACCCCCCACACTTACTCATTAGCCAGGGCACAGGGCAACACGGGCTGCGGCCGGCCAAGGCTGCCTGTGGGAGTGCTCAGGCGAGCAGGTGGCCAGCAAGCAGAAAGCTTGGAATGGACAGTCTCCAGGACACAGTTCCCCTGGACCAAGGGGGCCGTGGCCCTGCCCTCTGCAGGCTGGTCCCCGTGGGCTTTAGGGCTGAGGCATGGAAGCTCTTTGTCCTGTCCGGACCCCTGGTAAGGAGGCGGAGGTGAGGCTCGGCGCTAGCGGCTGTCCAGGCACCATTTGGGGTGTGTCGGGGTGGCTCATAGCCCTGCCCCAGGAACTTCCCACATTGACTGTGTTCAGACTGCACCTGGGGCTGCTGCCCAGAGCAGGTGACAGCAGGACAACTGTCCCTGGACAGTGCCGGGGGTGGGGGCCTGTGGGACCTGGCCATGCTCAGCAGGGACTGGTGTATCCTCCTTCAGAATCCCACAGGAATGCGGGGTTGAAACATCTCATGATGACAGGTGATGTGGGATCCATTGATGTGGGAGCCTACAGATCTCCCCAAAGAGTCGTTTGCAGGGAAGAATGGGCCCTCTGCCCTTTTTATTGCCAAAGAAAAATGGCTTTAGGTACATTTTGTTTTGACCAGAAAAGCTAATAGATATGTGCTCCCTGTAAAAGTTTTAGACAAAATAAAAATTGTAAAGAAGAAAGAAATTCATCTCCAATCTCACCACCTGGACATATCCATTGCTAAGCTTTTGATGGATTTTATCCCTCCTCTTATTTGTGTGTGGCCTGGCCAAACGGTTACAGTAACGACATCACTGCAGGACTGGATGCCTGCGTTGGGCTCGGGATCCCAGGCTCTGAGCAGGTGTCCCTGTGCATTCCTGCATGGTCAGGCAGGGGAACAGCCGCCTGGAGTTAACAGGCTGCTGCCAGTGCAGGAGGAGCAGCACTCGGGTCACTCTCTCCCAGTCCTGGTTGCTGTGTCAGCCTCAGCCACATTATGGGGCCACATGCCTGGTGGCTGATGCAGATCACCGGTGTGAATGCCAGGCAGCAGGCTACGGTGCAGTGGAGCAGCGCCCCTGACCCAGGCTGTCCCCTCCAGGTTCTGTTTCAGGTGCTGTCCTTCATGATCTATGTCGTGAGCTCGGCGTTCTGCGGGCATCTGGGCAAAGTGGAGCTGGCATCGGTGACCCTGGCAGTGGCCGTGAGTACAGCCAGGACTGTGTAGGACTGTCCCTCCCGGGTTCCTCCCCCAAGGTTCCAGGGAGAAAATACTGCCTGAGGGCTGACAGCTGCATTCACAGCTGGGACCTGAGGCCTTCACAAGGTGGGACACAGCACACGCGGGCAGGACCTCAGCAGAAGGGGGTGTCTGGCTCAGATGCACATCACAGCTGTTGCTCAGTGAACTTGCCCCACATGCAGGGTCCCCTCCTTGGGCTCTGCCTGACAACCCCTGTGTTCTCTCCTGTGTGGCTTCAGTTTGTCAATGTTTGCGGAGTTTCCATAGGATTCGGCTTTTCTTCAGCATGTGACACCTTGATGTCCCAGGTAGGTGAGCCTCCTAGAGCTAGGCAGGACCAGAGCCAATCCCTCAACTGCTGCAGAAATGGTGGGTGCTGGGGACCCCCTCCCAAGCCCCTCAATGCTCCCTGAACCCGACGGGGCAGCTGTCTTCTGTCCACGCAGCCCCTGAGGATCAGGTGCTGTCAGAAGACTGGACCCTCCCCTTTGAAAGAGTCTGGATAGGCAGGCTAGAGAATCCTGGAAAGGGGCGGGGGCAGTTCTCTGCCCTGCTCAAATGCTGAGGGTGCATACAGGGGACCCCTTGCCCTCGGGGACCCAGAGTTCTTGGCTTACGGTGGACCTGGGAACCTGGGTCGGCCCTGGCTGCCACTTCCTAGCAGGGTGACTTGACAGTGCTCTCGGAGCCTCGTTTGCTTCCACTGTGATGTGGGGAAATAACACTTTCCTCACCAGGTGCCTTGGAGAACTGGGGACAGTGGGTGGACAGAGGTTGGCACTCAGCAAATAGCCGCTATTGTAATCCTGTGAGCCGGCTGAACCCCTGCAGAGGCTGACAAACCTCTGCCCCTGAGGGCACTGCATGGTGCCTATTGTGAGCAGGAGCCATCCAACGGCTCTGGCACCGCGGGCCAAGCACCCGGGGACGGAGGAGGGGCTCAGCGCGGACTGCTGTTTTGCAGAGCTTCGGCAGCCCCAACAAGACGCAGGTGGGCGACATCCTGCAGAGGGGAGTGCTCCTCCTGCTTCTCTGCTGCTTCCCCTGCTGGGCGCTCTTCCTCAACACCCAGCAGATTCTACTGCTCCTCGGGCAGGACCCAGACGTGTCCAGGTACCGCCTGGCTCCTGCTGGGAAGCCAGGGAAAGAGCCCCCAAAGGAACCCCCCTCCAGGCCCCGCAAGCAGTCGTAAGCATCGGGAGGTTCCGGCTTAGGTTTGGGGATTCCTCCGCGCAGTGTGGTGATCTAGCTGTGACCAGCAGGGGGCAGACGAACGGCCAGTTTTAATTCACAGCAAAGAGCAAGACGAGGATTTGCACGGTATTTCCGTCTGTGTCCCAGCACTAGTTGGAGCTTCACCGACGTTTTAGAAAAAATGAAGTGCGCACCACCCCACATTCCAGAAAGGAGAAAGAGAACCGAAACAATTTCTGATGAATTACACGGTTTTTATTACCTTTAGAAAGGTCCCTCAGAGGAGTGCCTTGCTCATTTTATATTATGTGCACTTCATCTGGTTATTTCTTGAAAAGAGAGAACCTTTTTTACCCCCTTACCACGTTTTACTCCAAATTTAAGTTCCCTAGTTACGAGGCCCCTGAGGTTGGGTCCTTGCTTCCTCCTCCTGGCACCTCCCCTAGTACTTACTGAAGCTCCCGGGTCTGGGCCGAGACCTGCCCGGGGCCTGGGGAAGCCTGTCCTCAAACCCGGGTTCCTGCAACGCGCCCCCGCCCCCGGGCCCCCCTGACAAGGGCACCGCCGGTCAGCCTCCGCTCCTCTTGCAGGCTGACCCAGGAGTACGTGCTGATCGCCATACCGTCACTTCCGGTAAGCGGGCTGCCTGCCAGCCGGGCGGGTGCAGGGGCCCTCTCCGGGTCCCGGCTTTCTGCCTTCCCACTCCCACCCCCACCCCCACCCCCCGCTGGGGAGGGTCCTGGCCCTGCAGCGACTTCCTCTGTGCGGTGAGGATGCTTGGAGGGGTGGGAGAGAAGTTCCCCTTCCCACCGGTGCAGACCGGGCTTTTAAAAGGTAACAGAATGTGTTTTTCTGGTTAGAAAACCATTTATTGGAGAAACTGTAGAAAGCCTGGGGAAGAAAAATTCCAAATCACCTATAATCCTACCACCCAGAGAGAACATAGGTTCTCTTTTCAGGTTACTTCTATTCATGAGTTGTGGTTTCAAGCACACACACACACACCCCGTTTGAAATGAGGCCAGCGTGTGTATATTGCATTATAATCTGCTTTTTCCCTTTCAAATATGTCATTAGTCTCTTGACATGTTTGAATAGCTCACGTAACAGCCATTTCAAAGGCTACATAGCATCCTATTGTGCCATGACTTATTAACCAATCTCTACATGTTAGGTATTCAGGTTGTTTCCAATAGTCGCTATTATAAATAATCATTCTTATAGAAAAACTTTGTGAACATTTGTGATGATTTCCTTAAGATGCATTATTGGAATTAGACTCATTCTGTCAATGGCTTTTGATACCAATTTGTACCAGTTGTACTCCCACTAGCAATGCCCTCATCAGCAGAGCATTATTAATGTTTTCCAATTAGAAGTAATTTTAACATGTATTTTATTGCCAATGAAGTTGAACATTTTTTCATGTATTTATCGATCATTTGTTTTTCTTCTGTGAATTGTTTATATACCCTTTGCTTATTTTAGTGGGTTAATCTTTCTCTAATTATAACAACATGTTAAATAATAGCTTAACTCTTTGTCATATATGTTGCAAACACTTTTCAGTTTGTCACTTGCCTTTTAATTTTTTGATATATTTGACTTAAAGAATTTTTAATGTATATGTAACAGTCCATAACCTAACTTATTCTTTATATCTGTCTTTGATGAGCTTAAAAACACTTAACTCATATCAATATTATCTAAAATTTGCCATATTCTCTTTGAATCTTTTTATGGTTTCCATTTTTATATCTAAGACTTTAATCCATTTAAAGAACTCTTTCTAAGACTAATTATTGACTATTCCCTTCTTTCTTTTCTTCATGAGTTTACGGAGTACTAAATAAGCAGTGTGTCCACTTGGGGCAGTTCCTGAGATTTCCGGCCTGACCCAGTGGTCTGTGCATCTACTCTGGAATCCACTGCCCACTATTAGATTTGTCCAAGCTTGGTGACACGTCACTTACTCTCAGGCAGTTCTGAATCAGGCATGGTCTTGCCAGCTGGAGTTGTCTTCTGTCTCTGGAACTTCAGCACCCCTTTGTCCTCCCAGGCACCAGGGGGCGAAGTTCTGGAGGAGAGACCTGGGAAGGGAATAGGTCATGTGACTTCAGATTGCACTAAAAGGTGCCCAGGTCTGGCAGGGTGATCCCCAGCTACACCCACACTGAAATCCCAGTGTCCTGACCTCTTTGGGGCCCGGCCAGCTCCATGGAAACCATGTTTTGGCTCTTCAGACAGAGATGATGGTACCTTGTTCAATGGGGCCATTGTGCCCGGGCAGGAAAACACCTATAAAGTTATCACTCTGGCAACTCCTTTATCAAATGAATCAAGTCTCTCCCACAAAATGCAGCCACAAAATTTAATTAACAATAAAAATACTTACACAATGCTTATCTAACACTTGGAACGCTTAAATATGCCAAATACTGTTTTGTGAGCACTTTACACATATATATGTATATGTATAAATATTAAGTATACACACATTCACACATTATTATACTCATTACAGATGAGGAAACAGGCAAGAAAGGTTATGTAATTTGCCTGGAATCACACAGCCCCTAAGAGGTAGAACCAGTATTTAAACTCAGGCAGTGTAGTTCTAGCTTCATGCTCTTAACCCCTGTGCTACACTAAAAAAGAAGCAGAGGGCTAAGGGAAGGGAGGGGACAGGATGGCTTTGACAGAGTACAGAAGGGCAGTAGCCAGACCCTAGGGTAGTCACAACCCATGGGCTTGGGCTCTGGCGTGTCCTGTGCACGGCCCCTGGGGCAGCCCTCCTAAGCTGATGGAAGGCCAGGGTTGGCAGCCAGAAACCCTGCTGGGCCCTGCCTCCTGCACAGGCCTCTGAAGTGCTCGCTCTCTGAGCCAGCGCCTCCTGCCTGCTCACCTCCCCCTGTGGCCCAGCGGGGCCCTTGGGTCCTCTCTCCCATAGGTAGGGCCAAGCGCACACCCAGGTGAAGCCTACCTGCTGGGTGTCAGACATACTTTGATGAAGTAATTGCCCCCAAACTCAGATATCTAAGAAATATCTGTTAATGTTCATCTGGTTGTTTTTTAGTAGTTGTTGTTTATTTGTGTGTATATATTTTATTTTATACAGGTGGTTTTTCTTTACAACCTGCTGGCAAAATATTTGCAAAATCAGGTACAGGGTCCTGGCTGGAGGGGTGGCCAGCACACCGCCCTGTTCCAGTGGGGAGGGGTGCCTGGGGCTGTCTCCCCTCTGTACCACCTGTGAATCCACAGTGCCATGTCCTGCACTCTGGTATAGGGGCCAGTGAGGAGCTGCATGTGTCCTAGATGTGCCCATGCTCGTCCACACTCCCCTGGTCCTGTCCACCCCTTAGCAAGGCCAGTTTTCATTTATTTCAGGGAATCGTCTGGCCCCAAGTCCTCAGTGGCGTCGTGGGCAACGGCATCAATGGCTTGGCCAACTACATCCTGGTTTCTGTGCTGGACCTGGGGGTCAGGTGAGGCCAGTGGGCTGCAGAGGCCTGGTCGGGGAACACTGCCCACCAAGTTCCCCACCCCTCACTGGGGCAGGCCAGTTATCATCCTTGTCTCTCTCGTGGAGGCTACTCGCACCATCCAGAAGTGGGGTGTCCTGAGGAACTTGATGGGGACTTGCCACCAAAGAGAGAGGGACCCCTCCCCAACGGTGTGCCTGCCTTCTGTGAGAGGCTGAGAGGGGTGCCTGGCAGGATAGGGTGGTCGTGGTGCCGGCAGCGTCAGTGGCTCCTGGGTGGGGCCAGCACCGGGACCAGCTGCTGAGCGAGCCTTGCCTGTGTCCCTCCATGCCCTGCGGGCTCCAGCATGGGAGCACCTTCCCCAGGGACAGAGCTGGCCCAGGTCCAGCCCTGCTCTCCCGGCTTCCCCAGGGGCTCTGCTTATGCCAGCACCGTCGCCCACATTGTGCAGATGACCTTCCTGTTCCTCTACATCATGCTGAAAAAGCTACACATGGCTACATGGGCAGGTGGGGAGACTGCCCTGCTTTCGGGGGTGCAGAGCATCAGGCAGGCCAGTCCAGACACAGGGTGTTCCTTTGGCAAGAAGAGGGCTCAGCTGGAGTCCTATGGAAGGAGCCCCATCCCCCACCTGCCTCTATTTCCTTGGGGGGGGCCCTTCCCTTTGCTCCATCCCTCAGAACTCCCACCCCCAAGTCCCAGGATCCCCTCATGCCATGTGCCACAGTGCAGAGCCCTGCTGGAGACAGGCCCAGGAAGCTGTCTGCTGGGTCCTTGATGCCAGGATGACAATTAGAGTAAGAACACAGGTAAAATTCCAAGTGTCAGCCATGGCCTTAGTGCCTGGACACCTGGTACTCATGACACCTTATTATTCTATTTTATTTACATGGAGGAAATTGAGGCAGCGAGAGGTTAAGTAATTGGCCCCAAAGATGGTCCATGGTGGGGCCTGGACTCCATGCTTGTCTCCTCCCAGGCTTCAGGCTCCAAGCTTTCCTGCCTCCGGAAGCCTGGCTCTGTAACCTGTGGGCTCTGTTCCCAGGCATCGAAGGAGCAGCCCTGGGGCCCCCAGCGAGTCCCGTAGGGTGGAGCCCTCTTGAGTCACCACTGCCCTCTGCCTGTAGCATCCTTCTGCATCCTTGAGCTTGTGCTGTCCTCCCAAAAACACTTCCGGGGAGGCAAGGCAAAGATAACTCAAATTTTCAGATGACGAAACAGAGCCCAGAAAGGGCAGCGTCCTTGCCCACGGTCCTGTGGTGTCACAAGCCCAACGGGAAGCCCTGCTGTGCCTGAGGCTCCTGTCTTGAGCTGCTCCATGGCACTGGCCAAGGGAACTGGTGCCCTGTCCCTGAGTTCTCTGCCCCCCACCCCCATCCCCCACCAGCATTGGACCAGCTGGCATGCTCTGTGTACAATACCAAGTGGTTGGACCTGCTGAGCTGAGCCCAGGAGTGGGCAGAAGGTAGGCTCATAGGGTCGCTGCTGCTCAGCTCTCAGAGATTCTGTTCCTAGGCTGGTCCATCCAGTGCCTGCAGGACTGGGGCCCCTTCTTCCGCCTGGCCGTCCCCAGCATGCTTATGCTGTGCATCGAGTGGTGGGCCTACGAGATCTGGAGCTTCCTCATGGGTATGTAGACGAGCAGGACCAGGGGACCCTGTGGGCGGCTCCCCCAGCTCAGAAGCCCCCTCCGGGGCTGGCCCAGGCCCAGGTTAGGTCCATTGCTCACTCACCTCCCCATCCTTCTGTGAGCTCCCAGAAGGCACTGCCACAGCGCCCCAGCAGAGGTGGTGGAGTCAGTGGGGGAGGGGAGGTTGAAGGGACCAGCAGGCAGGCACGAGTGGGTGGGGCAGGTGTGGGTATTTGGTGCCCAGTCAACTCAAGGCCAGCGCTGCAGTCACCCCAGAGACCTTCTCATCCAAATGCTGCCCTGTTTACAGATAGGAAAACCAAACCCCAAGAACAAGAGAGACTGTCCAGAGTCACACAGTGGCAGAGCAGAGACCTGAACTTGGGTTTCCTGGTCCCGGGCTAGCTCTTTTCATGCCATGCCATATCCTTCAAGGAGTTCAGCTTGAGAGACAAACCACACCAGGAAACAGACTGCAGCAAATTCTATAACTGGGCAGGATTTTCCTAGAAGGCTGAAGGCCAAGCAGGAACATTTTTGTAATGAATCTGCCCTGCAAAATCATTTACCCTTGGCCTCCTGAGCGGAGGGGTATTCTGTCAGCCCAGGGCCCCTTAGTCTCTGTCTCCCACAGGCCTGCGCAGCGTGCTGGACCTCTCGGCCCAGGCTATCCTCTACGAGGTGGCCACAGTCATCTACATGGTGAGGCTCTGGGGCTGCCTTTGCCATGCCCACCACCCTGGCCCACACCCCCCACTGCCCTGGGAGCATTGTGGGAGGGGGGCAGGCTGCCACTCCTGGGGTCCCTCCCCGAATTCCCATGCCCACCAGCAGGCCCAGGCCCTGCATACTCACACTCAGGCAACCCGCAGCCTCCGCCCTGCAGGTAACACTGAACTCATATGATGCTACAATTTTTTGGACCTAATTAACACCATTTAAAAACTGAGAGATTTCACATCATCATCTGGATTTTTGCATTTTCTTGAAAAATGGACATTCTGCCTAGTGGTGAGCCCTTGTTCCTGCACCCCCTTTGGAGAGAGCTAGGTGACAGCATACCCTGGTGGGGCATTGCTCTTCTCCCACTCAGTCCCCAGGCCCTCCTTTCCCTACAGCAGCATGGGCTGTCCCTTGTCACTCATGTAAAAATCTGCCAGGCTCCTGGGGGCATGTAATCTGTGAGCTCCTGTCTAAGCAAAGGATTCACAAATGTATACAGTTACAAAACTCATTTACAAGGTGATTCTTATTTTTATAGATTCTTATTTTTACCAATTTTTTCCATTTAAGAAAAAAACACACTTTTTTTCCTTAAATGGAGCTTTTATGGCATACTTAGGGCCATATTCACCTTTAAAAAATTCATTTACACAGCAATTTTGACTGTAGCCAGTCTGCCTGTGATGTTTAACGGAATGGATGGAGTGGATGGGGGGCTGGCTGGCTCACTTGGGGTGTCCCCACCCATCTCCCAACCTCAGATGCCACCCCCTGTTTCCAGCAGCCATGAATACCCTCTCCTCTCCAGGGCCTCCCTGGGCTCACACTGACCTCCTGCCCTCTTGCACCAGGACCTGGGCCACAGGGCCATTGCTGGCCCGGGAACTCCTTCCGGCACAGCAGTTGCCTGCCATGGGGCAGAGGCTGGCTCCACTGACAGTGCCTCCTTCCCCTGTTCCCAGGTTCCAGCGGGGCTCAGCATCTCAGTCTGTGTCCGAGTAGGGATGTTCCTGGGAGCTTCAGACACTGTGCAGGCAAAAAGATCAGCTGTCTCAGGCGTGCTCTGTGTAGGTGGGTGGAGTCCTCTCTTGGGTGGGTGGGGGGCAGGGCTTGGAAAGCCAGGGGAGAGCCTGGCCTGTGGGAGGCGGGGCTAGCCGTGGGAGTGGACAGGTTTACCTTCCAAACCTGCAATACCTGGATTCGGGCCCAGAGCACTGCCTGCCAGTAAGTGGATGGTGCCCCAGCCCTCGACCCAGTGAGCAGCAAATGCCTCCCTTGCCTGACATGTCCCTTCTCTCCTCCTCTGTTGCTGGGGCTCCTGGGCCCTTGCAGGGACAGCTCACACTGCCACTCCCCTTAGTGTGACCCTTTGAAGGCTCCTCTTCCCTGAGCCTTGCCTGCCAGCTGCCCAGGGTTCTCTGCAAGCTTGCCCTCCCAGCATCCCCAGGAGCTTAGGACCTGGACATCCTACCCTCAGAAGGAACCAGTCTTGTGTCCTCCACCAAGGCTCTCTGCGTCCCGAGGCTGACAGGGTCCAGATCAGCTCCTTGATGGAGAGCAGCAGTTCTCAGGCTTCTGCATGCTCTGCAGTCCCCTGGAAGCCAGGGCAAAAACCACAGATTGCCTGGCCTCACCAGGTGGAGTTTCTGGCTCAGCAGGTTGGGGATGGGGATCTGAGATTCTACATTTCTAACATGTTACCAGGTAATCCTGTTGCTGCTAGTCTAGGAAACCCTACTTTGAGAATCATGGGAGGAAAGGCATTTTAACATTAAAAAAAAAATCCTCACCCAAGGAAATTTTCTTCATTGCTTTTAGAGAGAGGGGAAGGGGTAGGGAAAGAAAGAAATAAACATCAATGTGAGAGACAAACATCAATTGATTGTCTTCTCATCTAAACCTTGACCACGGTACAGTCATCTGTGCCCTGACCAGGGATCGAACCCACAACCTGGGTAGGTGCCCTGACCAGGAATTGAACCCACAAACTTTTGGTCTGTGGGACAATGCTGCAACCAACTGAGCTACACCAGCCAGGACAAGAAAGGCATTTTATATGTAGTCCTTTCTACAGGACGGCAAAAGAATGCCATAGTCCAAATGAATTACTCTAAAGCAGGGGACATTGGTGCTGAGGGTGGGGCTGACTTGTACTTACCGGGGCAGGAACTCCCCCATCCGGCCCCCCACCTGCCGTGGGTTGTTTTTAGCCAAATGCTCTTCTTTTGTTTCTTTCAGTTGGCATCTCGCTGGTTATCAGTGCCCTGTTGAGCATCCTCAGAAATAAACTGGGGTATATTTTTACCAATGATGAGTAGGTAATCGGTTTTCTTCACTGACTTCTGGGAGATGTCAGAGGGACTTGCCGCCAGCCCTCAGTCCTCAGAGATTTGTCACACACCTGGCTCGGCCCTGGTGTTGTCCTCACAGAGAGGAGGCCAGTGTCTGTGCTTGTGCCGCAGGCCAGGGCCTCCACCTCCTGCTCGTCCAGAGACAAGATGCTCATCGAGGGACAGCACAAAACTGGGGCTCTTCTGGAGCTTAGGAAGACCCACAGACATGCAGAAACCCAGGGCTAGGGGTGTTGGGTGTGTGAGGGGCAGCAACCTCAATTCCCAACATTTTGGGGAGGTGGTATAATAAAGGGATATAACTGGGTCCCTAGAAATATAGTCATGTCTTCGTGCTCCCAATGAACGCTCTTTTCTGTTCTTCTGCAGAGAAGCCATCGCCCTGGTGAGCAAGGTCTTGCCCATTTACATCATCTTTCAGCTCTTTGAGGGCATCTGTGTGAGTACTGCTGATGCGCCTGCCCTTCCTGAGGCCTCACAGTAAATGCCCAAAGTATTTGCTCATGTCACTATTGTGAATTTGTATTCACAATAGTGACTCCCCCTTGCCTTCTGCAATTCCAGCAGCCCAAAAGACGAGTACAGATTAGCAGAGCACTGAAAAATTGTACCAGTGCAAACTCTCAAATCCTCTTCCTTCCTTGTTCCTCATGAGCAGGGCCACGGACACTGACTGGTGCCCCTGACTGGCAGGAGCTCAACAGCAACCCTGCCCTGGAGCTAGGGCATAGGGACATTTCTGAGAAAGGGAGTGAACCCAGAATACAGAGTGACTTGAATTTTCTGTCCCTTTGACCATGAAAGGACAGATCCCATTTAGTGCAGATTTGAATTATGTGAGTTTTTAAAAGCATGGCATAAAAAAATACTGAAGTCTCACTTTAGACGCCAGATTTGAAATCCAGTGTCCTCTCCTTTGCATCCTGGGTTGAGTGAGTCCTTCAGGAATGCATCCCTTACATAACATCCAACAGCTCTATGTAGGATGTGTGGGCTTAAGTAGTGACACAGAGCTCCTGCACTCAAAAAAATAACCCACTGAAATTGTATTTATGGGGGTTTTCCCATAGGACTCGGGGCATACTATCCAGTCCGCTACATATTCTAGAATTCACCTTGGGATCTAGCTGGGCATTCAGGAGACACACTCGGAACACATGCTCTTAGCCTCGGCGGAACTGCTTCCCCTGGGCTGTGTTCTGTCATCATACTGTAGTTTTTATCATGGAACATTGAAAGAAACTATCTTATGGAATCTATTATTGCTTTCTTCAGGATGCTGTTAGGATACTATTCATGTTTTTTCTCCTGACCACTGATAATGGTTGGGAACAGCTTTGCAGTTCTCAAGAAATGAAGTATGCTTCCTCTCCGGTGGGCAGCACTTCTCTGCTGGCTCTGGAGCTTGGAGACAAACCGGCAGCTGCCAGTCGTAAGGGGCCTGAGAGCTCGTGTATCTGCATTCTGTTGTCTTTCTGCCTATCTATGTTGACATTATTCTTAATTCATGTTTTCCACTAACCTTATTTTTATTTTTTGTTCTTTTATTGAGTTATAATTTATATACCATAAAATTCATGCATTTTAAGTGAGTAATTTAATGATTTTAAATAAACTCAGAGGTGTGCCACCATTGCTGCAATCCGGCTTTAGAATCTTTCCATCAACTCCCCTGAATTTCCGGGGGCGTGTTCTGCAGTCAGTCCCTGGCCAGCCCCAGACAGCCCGCTGATGTGCTTTCTGGGTGTGTGAGCTTTGCCTTTTTTGAACATTACATACAAAGGAAATCATACATAGTCTTTTGTGACTGCCCCTTTTCTCTTAGGATAATGTGTTTGAGGCTTATCCATGTGGCAGCATTTTTCAGGACTTCAGTCCTTCTTATGACCAAATAACAGTCCATTGTGTGGATGTAACACATTTGCTCATCCATTCATCAGTTAGTGAACATGTGGGTTGTTTCTCGTTTTTTGGCTATTATGACTAAGGCTGCTGGGAACAGTCTTGTACAAGTCTTTCTGTGGATGTATGTTTTCCTTCCTCTTGGGAGAGTCCTAGGAGTTGAATTGTTGGGTTGAATGATTAGTTTATGTTTAACTTTCTAAGAAACTGCCAAAGTGTTTCCCAAAGTGGCTGTGATGCAGGCATTGTGGGGGTCCAGGGACCTGAGGGTCCAGGCATGACTGTGGGTTCTTGGCTTCATGCAGGAAAGAATCCGAACTATAGCCAGCACAGAATTTGAAGTGGAAGAGAGTTTGTTAGTGAAGCATTGAGACAGGGAGTGGGCTACTCCACAGAGAAGCGCCCCCACACCTTTAGCAGAATTTGCTTCCTTTCTGAGGTTCATTTAAGTAAGGGAGGTCTTCAATAAGGGTGAGAAATATTCAGGGTCTTCCTGGAAAAGGGGTGATTTCTCAGAGGGTCTCTGTTGGCCAATTTCTGTCCTTCTATGTAGACTTTTCATTTCTGATCAGGAAAGGTGCCAGGTGTGTTGATTAGCATGATAACATATTACAATGAGCATATAATGAGGCTGGGGTGACCATTAGGTAAAATTAGTTGCCATGTTGGATCAAACTGGTCTCTGTCAGTATTAAGCCATACATCCGATGTGGGGTGATCTTCCACCTTCTTGAGAGCTCTCGTAGCTTTGATGGATCGCAGCTGTTCGTGACATACCCATCTCAGCTCTACCGTGTTACATCCCCACCAGCAGTGTGTGAGAATTCTACCTTTGCTGCTTCTTTGCCAAATCTTGGCATTGTTTGTCTTTTAAAGAAGTTACAGGTTTTATTTTTAAGAGCAGTTTTCAGTTCACAGAAAAATAGGGCAAAAAAATCAGAGTTTCCATTGTTAAAAAACAAATTCTGTTTGAAATCTAGTTGGATTTATTAAGTGATTCATGAAGGCAGCATCCCATCTAGCAATGAGAAGGGTGCTCAGAGGGGTTGGACAAAGTGGAAGGTTTTTATAGGAAATGGGTGAGGCAAGGATATAGATCAAAAGAAAAGAAAGGATTATTTCTGGGCCCCAGACATCTTTTCTTTGGGGGAAGAGAAGGGCAGGGTTGTTATCATGCGGGTTGCCTCTCCTTTCTGTGGGGGATGGAGAGGGCCCCTGTGACAGATGACCTTTCCAGTATTGATCAGAAAATTCCAGACTGGTCGATTAAGATTATATTTCTGGGAGAGGCTGAGACTGCAACTAGATCAAGTGTGAAATCTAAGTTTACTCTCATGGGTTTTAGCACAAGTGCTGCCTTTTTTGGCCCGTGGTTTTCTCTTTATGACCATAAACCACCTCCCTCCCCTCAATTTTCTCTATTATCAACAGTTATGTTAGTGCGGCATGTTTGTAAAATTGATGAAAGACTATCGATGTGTTATTACTAACTGAAGTCCATGGTTCACATTAGGGTTCAGCTCTTGGTTGTACATTCCATGGGTTTTGACAAGTATGTAATGAAGTGTACCCACCAATATAGTATAGGAATAACCTCATTACATAGAACTCCTCTGTGTACTACACACTCATTTCTCCCCTTCGCCCTGGGGACCCCCTCCCTGAACCCATGGCAGTCCCTGATATTTTTACTGTCTCCATGTTTTGCATTCTGGAGATGTCTTATAGTTGAAATTGTACTGTATGTAACATTTTCACATCGGCTACTTTCACTTAGCAGCATGCACTTAAAGTTCCTCCTCGCCTATTCATAGCTTGAGAGCTCATTTCTTTTCAGCACCAATATTCCATTGTCTGGATGGACTGCAGTTTATCCACTCATCCACTGAAGAACATCTCGATGGCTTCTAAGTTTTGGCAATCACGAATAAAGCTATAAACATTCTTGTGCAGGTTTTTGTGCAGACATAGTTTTCAACTCTTTCTGCCTGTACCTGGGAGCACAATTGTTGAAGGGTATGGTACTATTATTATATTTTTAACTGTATAAGAAATTGTCCATCTGTTTTTTGAACTGGCTGTACCATTTTGTTTCCCCATCAGCAGTGAGAGTTCCTGTTGCTCTACCTCTTCATCAGCATTTGGTGCTGTCAGTATTTGAGACTTTAGCTATTCTGATAGGTGTGTAGTGGTGCCTCACTGTTGTAATTTGCAGTTCCCTGAGGACATATGATGTAAAGCATCTTTTCATATGCTTATCTGTTGTCAGTGTATCTTCTCTGGTGAGGTGTCTGTTCAGATCTTTTATCCATTTTTACATTGGGTTTTTTGTTGTTGTTGTTTTAAGAATTTTTGTATATTTTGAATACCAGTCTATCAGATGCAGGTTTTGCAAAGAATTTTCTGCCAGCCTGTGGCTTTTCTTTTCATTTTCTTAACCAAGTCTTTCATAGAGCAGATGTGTTTAACATTAATGAAGTCCAACTTCTCAATTTTTTCTTTCATGGATCATGTTTTCGGTATCATATCTAAAAAGTCATCACCTTCACCTAGATTTCCTCTTATAGCATCTCCTGAGAGCCTCCCAGTTTTGTACTTTGCATTTAGGTGTATGATCCCTTTTACTGTTTATGAAAGGTATAAGATGCATGTCTACACATGTGGCCCCTGACTTATGATAGTTGAGTTAACGAGTTTTTGATTTTGCAATGGCATGAGAGCTATATATATAAGTTACATGAGATACTTACTATATTATAAATAGGCATTAGATGATTTTGTCCAACTCTTGGCTAATGTAAGTGTTTTGAGCACATTTAAGGCAGGCTAGGCTAAGCTATATGAGGTTTGGTAGATTAGATGTATCAAGTGCATTTTGACTTATGATATTTTTAACTTACAGTGGATAGGTAGGTCAAGGGGCATCTGTATTCATTCTTTTTGCCTGTGGATGTCCAGTTGTCCCAACACCATTTCTAGCAAAAACAACAGCAACAAAACAAAACAAAACAAAACCTCCTTTCTCCATTGAATTGCCTTGTTCCTTTGTTAAAAATCAGTTGCGTGTTTGCACAGGTCTATTACTGAGTGCTCTGCTCCATTGATCGTTTCGTCTATTCTGGTGTCAACACCACACCGTGTGGTTACCGTAGCTTTGTAGTTAAGTCCTGAAGTTGAGTAGTGTCGGTCCTCTGACATTGTTCTCCTTTAACATTGTGTTGGCTATTTGGGGTTTTTTGCCTTTCCACATTACCTTTAGAATCAGTTTGTCGATATCCACAAAATAGCTCTCTGGGATTGTCCCTCATTTTCACTGTAGCCATCCTAGTGGGCCTGTACTGGTTTCTCACTGTGGTTTAGCATGCATTTCTGTTATGACTAATGTTGAGCCCTTTTTTGTGTGTGTTTATGATCCATTTGTATGCCTTTTTCAGTGCCTATTCAAGTCATTAGCCCACTTGAAAATTGGGTTGTTTGTTGTCTTAGCTTTCTAGGGCTGCTGTAGCATAGTACCAAAAGCTGAGCGACTTAAAATAG